TGGGTTACACTTTGCAGGCATGTTAGACAAATAAGCTGGTTCAAAGCTACTGTGTATAGTGCTTTATAAACTGGTCATATTATTTCAAAGAAGTAATATAAAACTGAAAGGCAACCACTCTGTAAAGACTTTAAAATGCTTGCTCTCCATTTGGTCTCAAACAACACTCAGCAGGCCGCACACTTCTGAATCAATTGTTACTGATTCATGACTGAAGCTCGAGTGCTACATGCCAGACAGCTAAGATATCACAGCTGGACTATGAATGAATGTCGAGACAATGTTCCTTCAGTAAACACATCACGAAAACTGCTGTGCAAACTCAAAGGGAAGCGTAAAGTAATGAGAAAGTAATGACTCATATCTCCATTCAGCCTTTCCTCTGAATAAAGCTGACTCACTGTGTCACTTCTAAAAGGCTACTCATAGATAGCTTAGATGGCGAGTTAGAAAAGGGCAGGGTATCAAAGCCACCATACAATCAGCTTTCTCTAAAGTAGTTCTCCAATTAAACGCATGGAGACACGACTCAAACTGAGGTGCTGTCTGCAGCGGCTGGAAGAGTCAAGTGGGAAATAGCTAAGGTATCATTAGTACATGAACAGTTTTGATCTGAATCTGCAGAGAATTATTGTTGGGAAAGTTTATCTAAGGGTACAATTATACTTGGAATACAATGATTACAAAGCCTCCTATCCTTGTGTCTGTGAGTGATTCAGAATATTCTTTTCTTTTATCATTGATCCTCTCATCTCTCTGCAGGTTTTCAGAAGCTTTGGAGGTTTCTGGTACCTGATGATGCAACCGCTGGCAGACAGAAATGGCATCTGTGAAAATCCCCACTGGGATACTGCGTAAGTGTGAGTGTGTCATTCGGAGTTGATTTCATCCTGTTCTTTGACGGTTAGCAATCACAGGGCGGAAGGGAGCTCTAATTGTGATGAACCTGCTTCCTGCTGTTCTCTCTGTCAATCCAATCGCTGCGTTTCCTTTCCAGCGGGATGACTACGGTCCAGTTTGCCGTCCACAAATGTTCTTGGACACAAATACTGCCACTTCTTTAGTACCTCACACTACCAATGTTTGCCAAGCCGGTGGCGTTATACATTTTCCTGGGCCAATATCCTGTCACAAAGCCCTACAGTATTGGGATGAGTGCTGCACAAATCAACATACATTAACTCTAGTTACAGTTTTTGTTTTTGGGGCTGCCATGTTGTGCTTTCGAGCTCTGTCAATCAATGCAATTAGCTTAGTCAAGCAGACAAATTAACTTGGGGTAGAAAAGTAATTATGTTAGAAAAGGGCAACTGGGCTTGCTTAGGGCATCAGAGTGACTTCTGGTATTCATAAAGGAACATTAGGATCATGTGGACGTCATTAAATCCATCCTCCACAAAACCAGCTTGTGTTAAATTAATCAGTGTGACCATTTCTACATCCAATCTGTAGCCAACAGAACCCAAAGGACTCTCCTCAGCAGCTGAAATCTGTCAGCAGTGACTAATTATAGAGGGGATGTCCAAATCCTGAAATAGGAAAGAAAATATGTGAGCAATGCTTAATAATCTAGTTTAAATAATCAAATTAACAGCAGCACTACGCAGAAATCTAACTTTCAAATGTGGAATAATGCTTGTTTCTTTCTGGATATAACTGGTTATTGAAAAAAAAGTATTCTCATCCTCCTTAACACAGCACAGGAAAAACAGCTATGTTCACATGCCCCCTTGTGGATCACATCTGTCACATCTGATGATTTCTTTAAACATATTATTCATTTTATGGCATAGTTTGACACCTTATTAATAAGTAAAATGTCTACCATGGATCTGTTTGGAGCACCCTTTCTGGGACTGTTAATAAATGCATTGTTGCTCCGTTGGTTTATTTAAAAAAAACAGTGTTTATCATCATTTAGTTATTTTGCAACATGAAGCCTCTTATAAATGTTGAATTAATGTAGTTGTTTTAAGCTTATATAGATTGTTGGACATCAGTCTCAATTCTAAAGTGCCATCTGAGTTTTCCTTAAGTAAAACATCTCTTTATCTGCATTCACTATTTTGGATCTTCAGTCATTCTGTGTAGTGTTTTGGCCAAATGAACCAGCCTGGGTGGAATTAATACTCAAACATAAAAACGAATTACTGTATATTGAGTCATCTTTGTGTGTGACTAGCAGATCCAGGCTGCTCTGTATCTGAATCACTGCTTTTGCAAACTGTATGTTACCATCATCTGGTTTCATATTATTTATATTTCACGTCACTGCAGGAGGTTCAGGCTGTCATACATCTCTGTAGTTCTGTGTTTTTAATAACTGTGTTTGGTTGTAGGGGTGTTGAAAATAATCGTTTCTACGATGCATTGCGATGCGGACGTGGACGATTCGGTCTCGATGCAGTGACGGAAGATAATCGGTTATAGCGTAGTAACGTTGCTTCCTGATTTTCCGGCCGCGGCTTTACTATAACGTTTTTTTTTTCTGTCACCTTAATATCAAATCGGTCGGTGACGCAGAGATCAGGGAACAGACGTGACAGCGGCACAGCAACACCAAACACGGAGCAGTCTGCTTTATCCACCAACACAAGAACACCAGTCCAGAACCAACAGCAGCAGGACCCGCTCTGAATCACTCCGTGTCGCTGCGGCTCAGAGATTTATGTTTTTCAAAAATAATCGCGTTACAATCATGTCAGGTTTTTGGTGGATTTAATTAAGTCTTGGATTGCAGAGTATGAATGTCCTCTAGCAATTTTCAGACGATATATACGTGTGTAAAGTTTGTGAAGGCAGGAGGAAAAAAGCTTCCGCGATCACCGTCTCCTCTCCGTTCCTCCAAGCCCCGCCCCCTCCTGAAAATAATGAGTGACAGGCTGATAGTGACCCGATAGAAACTTTATTATTCACTTAATCACTGAGATATAATGAAGCTAACTTAATCTCATACATTCATGGGATTTATGCAACAGTAAGACAGAGAATGTAAGTGTGCACCCACATGCAGTATTTTAGTTGTTATATGCTGTTGTAAATACTCCTGTTGTCTGCTGTGTTCAGACTCAAGTATGTGTGTGATGCCACATTCAGGACATTCAGTGTCCTTTTTTTTAAACAGAAGACCGTTTCTAGAAGCTGCAGCTAGACTGCAGAAGCACTATTTTTTGTTTTTGAGGATGGAACACACACAGATATAGGGAGGCTAGACCAATACAATTCATTTATTTTGGTTTATAAATGAATGTCAAGACATTTATGTTATTGATTTCTGAAGCACTTTCTAAATAATAAAAAGAGAGTTCATATGTATTTACTGCATGTATGCATTGATGAAAAATAAGCCATGTGCAGTAATAAAGAAAATTGAGGATGCAACGCATTGGTATGAATCGTGATGCATCGGGATATCGAATTGAATCGAATCGTTGACAGGATAATCGAATCGAATCGTGAGACCAGTGAAGATGCACAGCCCTATTTGGTTGGTGGTGGGTCAGTGCCTTCTGTCTTTGAGGAACCAATTTCCTCTGCCGATCTGAGATAAAGATGAATTTAAATTCTGATAAGTTTGAATAGATGTTTACACTGGGAACGTGTGTTTCAACTAATGTACCCATCGTTAAATAATTGTATTTTCAGCAGTGTGTGAACAATAGGCTATATAAGTAGTAGTATTCGCCAAATTAAATGTTCCCAACTTGTGTGTAAGTGGGCTTTTTAACCCCTCTGAATAACACTTTATAAGAATTTTTGTGAACTCAAATAAATAAGTTCCAGGGAAAAAAACATCAAGCTGTTAAATCCTAATTTATATACCAGAATACACACATAAAACAGCACTCATACACAAGTCCACAGCTAAATATTCTGTGAAATCTGTTTTAGCATGGTGAACAGGTTGGGCAGCATAGTGAAATTAACTTTGTCATACTTGTTTTGTTTGTAGCAGAACTCTTCATCCAGAGGAGGGCAGCATTTTGTCCGTGCTAAAAATAGCTCAGCCCATGTGGATAACTGGAAATGGTTTGTTTTTAACCAGGAAGTCAGCCACAGATTACCTCTGTCAAGTTACATACCCTGACCCTGACATCACTTCTGATTTTCCTTTCAAAGTAAAAGTCTTACAGAAAAGGATTGCAGCAAATGTCTCAGAGCCTTAAAGAACGAAATGTAGACTATTGCACAAATCGTCAGAATATTCTTTTAAATCACAAAGAAGCAGATTTTTGGGACATGCTACTTAAATGTAATGTATGCTATTTCTTTCTATAACAAGCACTGGGACACTAGCCAAATAAAAGACAAGTGTATTATCAGTAGGGGACATAGCTACGGGTATTAGATGATAAAGATATTTAACTCTTTTCATTCACCTTCAACATGTAGTTGAATTAAAAAACAACAGAAACGTTGTTTGTATTATTTGCATTTAATGCTAAACATTATAATAGTGAGAATTAGTTTAGGGTAAAAACTATAATGGTGAAGGTATATTTTATAAAGTACTGTACTTAAGTATAATGTTGACATATTTGTACTTGACTTCAGTATATTTATTCTATTCTTTTATAGACATTTTATATTGCATGGTATCGATTTACTTTTTAAATGTACATGATATGACCATTGTAATGTGGATATGACACATTGCTGTACTACTCTACCCATATCATACTCTACCCAAATCATTATACTCCACATTGACCAGACTACATAAAAATGCTATCTTTTGATAAAAACTGAAAAATATATTTTGTTATAATAAAATAACACTGTGTAACACTAACAACCCAAATCATTCTGATGATTACATTTCACTGGTAATACTTCTATTGTTTTACTTATGCAACAATAATGAATATTGGAAATGTGCAGAGTATTTTTTTATTAGGATATATCTTCTTTTACAACGCCTAAGTAAATACACCTGAGTATCACTTCTTCCACAACTGGGTTACGTCAATGTCACAACCTTTATTTTGAAAACACAAGCACACCGGTGCTTGTGTTGCTAGCTTTATGCTAACCTGCGCAGCAGTGACAGCTCTGTATTTCTCAACACTTCCTCTTATCCCAGAACTACAGTCAAACTGGACTTTCTGACCACACCTGCAGAAGTATCGCCTGGATGTTAACAGTTAAGTAAACCTCAGTTTCTTTATTTAACTAGATGTTGGATAACGCATACTGTGAACTAAGTGTATTGCTAGCTGTGTGGTACTTTTATATGCAAATGTCATGGAGAGCTAATTTAGCAATTGTCATAGTAAACATTAAAACCATATATACTTTGTTGTTTTAACTTTGTATTATTTGTTTTATAGTACAAGTTATTATATGCAAATAACACGTCTTAAGTAACGCCGATTGTGTTAAAGTGCATCCAGATGTATTCAGTTTCTGATATAATCATTGTGGCATGTTTTGCATATTTGTAATGCCATCATTTTTATATTTGTATTACCTTATGACAATGCTTCCGGGTTTGCTTCTCAGCCATTTCTTTGTTTCCGTGTGCGCCAGTGTGGGTGTGTCCCACTTTACATACTGTCCCGTTATGGTCTCACGTTGAAGTTTACAACATATATTTCAACTGCACCAAAAGTATTAAGCAGATGGAGAACATTGTATTATATGATTCATTTTCCAATAAAGTATGTTGGTGTGTTCTCTCCTCGCAGGCATGGCTGTGTTTGAGAACTGCTCTGTGCTGTTTGAGCTGAAAGTGTTGCCTTACAAGGAGAAGAAGGAGCTCAAATCAGCAATAACAGAGAATGGAGGCAACATTTCCTTTGTTGTCAATACAAAGGTCAGAGGGTGTGATCACTTCCTATACTGCCAGGCTATGGTCTTTTGATTAAAAGTGAAATATCTTCCTCCAACATGATTAATGTACATAAAGCTTGCATGTTTAAACTATGTCCTTGTGTTGCAATGTTAAAGAACAATCATATATTGCTCTCTGCCTACATTTCCCACAGTGCTCTCTGATAGTGACCAATGATGTATCCAACCTGAGCTCCAACAGGCTGCGTAGCATCCAGAAATACCGAACGCCTGTGGTCGGGGTGGAATATGTGAACAGCTGTCTGGAGAAGGGAGTTCTTCTGCCTGTGGATGAATACAAGCTGGACATTTCCTCTCCCTCTGTGTTCTCTCCTCCTCTTCCCCCCTCCTCACCAAGGCGTAGTCCAATCTCACATCAAGGTATTATCAGCATAGGTAGTAAGTGTTAACAAAAAGCATGTATACTAAGCACATGTTATATGCAACAAAACATTACACTTAAAACAGGATTCGAAAATTGTCTGCACACAGAACTGATTAGGTTTTGATGGTCAGGTGTCACGTTCACTGTGACCTCACACAGCCCTTTTTGATCTTCCTAATTAATATGCTTATTATGACAATTTCCCACAAATGTGTAATTGGATAGAACTAGGAAGTGATGGCATTTTATATCATCAATCAATCAATCAATCAATGTTTATTTATATAGCCCAATATCACAAATGTTACATTTGTCTCAGTGGACTTCACAGTTTGTACAGAATATCAGTATGACAATACGACATACAGACATGGATGCAACTTTACTGGTTGCATAATGCATAAAACCTTTAGGGAGTCATTCTATTTTTTCTTTTAATGTAGACACAATGTTTTAAACAATATAAATACCCTTTATTAGGTCTTCTTTTAAGGTCCACTACTATAGAAGTAAAGTCATGATTCTGTGGGATCCTTGAAACTTTAAAATTAGCAAGAAAAAAGAAAGGCCTTGAATCTTTGTTTTGTTGCTGTCCAGAAACACTGCAACCATAAATGCTTATAGCAACAGTCGAATATAAAATAAAATCAGTTATTGTGGATTCTCAAGTTACCATTTGATGTACTGCAGCTTAATTGATCCCCATTGGACAATAATATATTGTTACTGAAGCAGTGAATGGAAGATGCGTGGAGGGCATAGACCCTTAACTCTGATATTTGGGAATGCACCTTATTTACGTGTTGGTCTATAAAGCTTTTATATTACATTTGCGTTGTTTTAAAATGTGCCGTGTGGTTTTTTATGCACTGTATATTTATACAGAGGTGAAGGACTGTAATATAACAATGATTACTTTTCCGCTTCTACTGTCTCTTCCGGAGACTAACTCAATCAGAATCATGACTCCACCCGGTTCCAACACAACGATGACTCATGATTCCTCTGAGTCGCTTATCTGCTCTCAGGAACAGACACAAGTCGGAGCTTATTGTCGATCAATTGTTATGTCCTCCCACTTCAGTTTCCACATTGATAGATGGACATTGTGATTAAAAAGTACAGTTGAGACTCAGTCAGCAGGTTTATCTTCATAGCAGCCTTTTTCTTTAATAACCTGCAGCAGTGTTGTAAATCAAGAGCTTTGTGAAGTGTTTTCATAGGAGCCCACAATGCTTACATAGCCTGTGTGTACTCAGGTTTAAATGCATACCAGTTCTAATGCTTTTATTGCAGAACAAGTAAAGTGAGGTGTCGTTCATGTGTATTTTCTTGTGTCTTTTGTATTTTAGTGTCCAAAGTACCATCGAGCAACACCGAGCTCTCTAAGAGGGAAGAGACTTCAAGGAAGAGCAGAAACATCTTGGAAAAGTTCAGGTGTGAACATCGACCCTTCTCAAGAAGTTTGTTATATTAACCTGGGGTATCAGTGATGAAGCTGAACATGACATAGTTACATTTTATGAATCAAACAGATGGTTAAAGGTTCAGTCATGCAGACCTTTTGTTATGATTGTAAATATGTGTGACCTTTGCACTGCTGAGACCTTTATCAAGCTGATTAGGTCGACATTTCTGCAAAACTGTGTATTCCCTAATAACACGTGTATTCCCTAATAACACGTGTGCATGAATTCATCTTCATTTTCATTAACTTCCACAGAATTTATACTGAAACTGATATGACTCTTCCAAAGTACCCGGATAATTTTCAAGTGGCAAAGTATTCAATCTTTGAAAAGGTAAAGCTGCAGTTTATTTTAAGCTTTTCTTATACTGCTTCTACAGTAAATGTGTTTTGTTAATAGCCTACATTTCTCTGCAGATAAACAGCAGGACGTGGTGTGTGCTGGAGCTTCAGAGTTACAGAGGAGAGACAGGATGCCGGTACCGGGTGGTCAGGTACTGGAAGGGCGATATCGGAGCCAAGGTATGAAGTATTTTATACACCACTGCTTTGCTGAGCTAATAAATGACTTTATTTACTTTTTAGACATTGATTAATTTCATTCCACTTCATACACTGCACACAATTCATATCACCATTTTTTTTTTCTAAACTTCCTACCTTCCCTTCATTTTTCAAGCTGTTTGTAATTGTATAGTAATTGACTGTTTCCCTAGACATACTAAATTATTTAAATATTAGTTTTGAGTTGCTATACATGTTATTTGACTAGTGATTCTGTCTCTGTTATTCAACGTTTTTTTCATGTTGCTTTTAACTCAGATTAAAATGCTGGACATTTCATTTTTCTGGCTTTATGACCCAGTTATAATATCTTCTCCTTTATGTCTTCAAACATGCTTTCTATTGTAATATGCGGTTAAAGTTAACTGAAGTTAAATGATCTGAAAAACTGAAGAGACCACCAGCAGAGTAAACATCAGCTAACCACAACAAATCAATTCCAGCAATCACCAGGAGACTAAGATGGACACTTTTGTTATAACACGTCACATTACATAAACAAAAGGAGCAAATAACTTGTACAGAGTACCATCAAATCAACATTTGGGACTCGATCAGACTTCAGTTATAGAGTAACTTGAACATTGTAAAAAGATCAAAACCCATATCTGTGTTTGTGCTGACAGGAGGCGGCGGTGAGGGATATGCTGGTGCACCTATCCACCTCAGAAGAAGCTCTGGAGGTCTACAAGATCCTGAGAGAGACCCTGCAGGCTGAGGGTCTGCAGCTGAGGAACAACACCCCCCCACAGGCCCCAGACCTCGGCTCCGACCCCCTCCAGCTGGTGGGACATTACATTTCATTTCATTTCATTTGGCAGATGCTTTTATCCAAAGCGACTTACATTAAGTGCATTCAACCAGGAGGGTACAGAGTAACACGAATGTAGGTACATTAGTTTGAACTAAGCCAAACCATTCCAAGTGCTAGTACCTTAGCTTTAACTAAGCCAAACCATTCCAAGTGCTAGTACATTAGTTTGAACTAAGCCAAACCATTCCAAGTGCTAGTACCTTAGCTTTAACTAAGCCAAACCATTCCAAGTGCTAGTACCTTAGCTTCAACTAAGCCAAACCATTCAAAGTGCTAGTACCTTAGCTTCAACTAAGCCAAACCATTCCAAGTGCTAGTACCTTAGCTTCAACTAAGCCAAACCATTCCAAGTGCTAGTACCTTAGCTTCAACTAAGCCAAACCATTCCAAGTGCTAGTACCTTAGCTTTAACTAAGCCAAACCATTCCAAGTGCTAGTACCTTAGCTTCAACTAAGCCAAACCATTCCAAGTGCTAGTACCTTAGCTTCAACTAAGCCAAACCATTCCAAGTGCTAGTACCTTAGCTTCAACTAAGCCAAACCATTCCAAGTGCTAGTACCTTAGCTTCAACTAAGCCAAACCATTCCAAGTGCTAGTACCTTAGCTTCAACTAAGCCAAACCATTCCAAGTGCTAGTACCTTAGCTTCAACTAAGCCAACCCATTCCAAGTGCTAGTACCTTAGCTTCAACTAAGCCAAACCATTCAAAGTGCTAGTACCTTAGCTTCAACTAAGCCAACCCATTCCAAGTGCTAGTACCTTAGCTTAAACTAAGCCAAACCATTCCAAGTGCTAGTACCTTAGCTTCAACTAAGCCAAACCATTCAAAGTGCTAGTACCTTAGCTTCAACTAAGCCAAACCATTCCAAGTGCTAGTACCTTAGCTTCAACTAAGCCAAACCATTCCAAGTGCTAGTACCTTAGCTTCAACTAAGCCAACCCATTCCAAGTGCTAGTACCTTAGCTTAAACTAAGCCAAACCATTCCAAGTGCTAGTACCTTAGCTTCAACTAAGCCAAACCATTCAAAGTGCTAGTACCTTAGCTTCAACTAAGCCAAACCATTCCAAGTGCTAGTACCTTAGCTTCAACTAAGCCAAACCATTCCAAGTGCTAGTACCTTAGCTTCAACTAAGCCAAACCATTCCAAGTGCTAGTACCTTAGCTTCAACTCAGCCACACCATTCCAAGTGCTAGTACCTTAGCTTCAACTAAGCCAAACCATTCCAAGTGCTAGTACCTTAGCTTCAACTCAGCCAAACCATTCCAAGTGCTAGTACCTTAGCTTCAACTAAGCCAACCCATTCCAAGTGCTAGTACCTTAGCTTCAACTAAGCCAAACCATTCCAAGTGCTAGTACCTTAGCTTCAACTAAGCCAAACCATTCCAAGTGTTAGTACCTTAGCTTCAACTAAGCCAAACCATTCAAAGTGCTAGTACATTATTACAATATGTATAGAGATTTCATTGGCCGAGGTGCAGTCGAAAAAGGTGTGTTTTCACTTACCCTTTACTTTATTTTAACCTGTAAGAAATTGTTGTGAAAAAAACAATAAAGCAGCCGACAGTAAGTAGAACGATACTATTCTGTTCCTCGTGTTTGCTGTAAAACACTGTAGTTTTCCGTTCAGCTTCATGTTAACATTAAATATTCTTTAGTAACGGTATTTCTTTCTCAATTAAATGTATTGCACCAGCATGTGGTGGATAAAATGTAATATGTTGTGTTTATTATACAATAATACAAACAAAGTCAATGAATTAACATAATTTCCTGTCAATATGAAACATTATTACATATTACAAAACTATTTAAAGGGTAAATAACTATTAATTTCATAGAAACAAATCCCAATAATCAAAATGACAGTACAAAGTACATTAGATTACACTATTGTCTTGATTTTTAAATACCTAGCCTTCATAAAATACAAAACTGTCTCTGTTTAAAATGAAATGAGAGGTGTTTTAGAGACTCTACTCCAAGCTTTATTGCAGCTTACATTTTCATGGCACAGATGTTCCTAATATACATCAGTAGTATCTTAGTTAGCAGCGTTCTGAGTTTGTTAGGGTGAGTCACTGCTTCTGGACATTTGTGTAGCTGAATCTAATGAGCTGTTGATTTGATTAGCATGTTCCTTGTTTTACTGACAGCTGCTGCTGGAGGAGCAGCTGAACACAGGAAGCTTATCACAGGAAGTGGGAGTGTTTGTGGAGCTGCTGTGGACCGAGGCCCTGGGCTGCCTCGGCAACATCCTCACAGTCCCCATCAACAAGCTCAGCCTCAACGATGTAAGCTCCTCTCTGTGGATCATGCTGCTGAGAGAAACATCAGCTGCCCCATCAACCTTATTTGTTTGACCTTCCCGGAAAGACAGTCTAATGATGCATCTCATTACAATTATTCGTGTGTGTGTGTGGTGTGTGTGTGTGTGTGTGTGTGTGTGTGTGTGTGTGTGTGTGTGTGTGTGTGTGTGTGTGTGTGTGTGTGTGTGTGTGTGTGTGTGTGTGTGTGTGTGTGTGTGTGTGTGTGTGTGTGTGTGTGTGTGTGTGTGTGTGTGTGTGTGTGTGTGTGTGTGTGTGTGTGTGTGTGTGGTGTGTGTGTGTGTGTGTGTGTGTGTGTGTGTGTGTGTGTGTGTGTGTGTGTGTGTGTGTGTGTGTGTGTGTGTGTGTGTGTTGATGTGTGTGTGTGTGTGTGTGTGTGTGTGTGTGTGTGTGTGTGTGTGTGTGTGTGTGTGTGTGTGTGTGTGTGTGTGTTGTGTGTGTGTGTGTTGTGTGTGTGTGTGTGTGTGTGTGTGTGTGTGTGTGTGTGTGTGTGTGTGTGTGTGTGTGTGTGTGTGTGTGTGTGTGTAGTGTGTGTGTGTGTGTGTGGTGTGTGTGTGTGTGTGTGTGTGTGTGTGTGTGTGTGTGTGTGTGTGTGTGTGTGTGTGTTGTTGTGTGTGGTGTGTTGTGTGTGTGTGTGTGTGGTGTGTGGTTGTGTTGTGTGTGTGTTGGTGGGTGGTGTGTGGGGTGTGGGTGTTGGGTGTGTGTGTGTGGTGTGTGTGTGTGTGTGTGTGTGTTGCAGGTGTGTGTGATGTAGGTGAGCAGGGTGGAGGGCTTGTTGCTCCAGCTCAGAGAAGAGGAAGGAGTCAGATTATATGAGGGTGCGTATCTTATTGATGAGGTTACACCCTGACTGCCGCACAAAGAGCCACGCCCTTCCTCCCATCGCCAAGTTCATCTTCAGTAAGCGGATCTCTGTCCGGTCAACATGAAACTCACACACAAACACTAGACACGTAAGGCAAGTTTATTTATATAGCACCTTTCAGCACACGGCAATTCAAAGTGCTTTACAAAATAAAATAAAAGACATTTCAGAAGAAATACAGACAGCTTGAAGCAAATAATTATGAATTGTAAGGCCACATGCTGTCTTTTTCCTAAATACAGTATACTTTGGTGTGTTCACAAACATAGCCAAAAACCCTGTTGATGAGTGTGCTGTTGATGGACTTTTACAATGACGTCATTGAAAAACATATTGATGTACAGTATATCTGGGTTGGATTTTTTTGTATACTAATTGCATAAATGGTACTAAAGCAAGAAGTATATAGTAAGTTAGTTTACATCATGGTGATCCAGATAAACACTGATAAGTACACAAAGAGTTGGCAGTTAAGATAAGAGTAATTCTGATAATGATCAATACAACATTATTTGTGGTGAATGTCATGTTTTGTTTTCATTTGAGCGATAACAAGTTTGAACCTTCCTGGCTTCTGAAGCTATTTAGTTTGTCATTATTTTAATTTTCAATTTAACAGAAAAGTTATACACAATAAAATGGTTAATATTTACATTTGAATTCATTGCATTTATTAAAAAGTAATTCTGTGTTTGCTAAATTACATCCAATGTAGGAGCCAAATGTAGGCTCTCTGTGTGTTTTATTCATTATATGGAATGTTTGACTCATTATCAGTGGTGGGTTTGTTCACTGGAGTAAGTGGTGGTTTAACCTGCGATCACCTGCTCACTTGGGTTTCTGTATCGAGGTGGGGAAGCAACATTTTCTGTTCACCGCATACTTTTTACCACAATGTCTACTCTCATTGCCATGTACATCACACTTCCACTTGCACTCGCCGTCGTATTCAAAGGAATTGGTAATGGATTGTATTTTATTATTGTTTGTTTGTGGAAGAATACATTATCAAACAAACCCATGGAGTAGAGTGGATATGTTCGTGCACGTCATACTAGTGTTTCTTCTCATGTTTAGCCCCTTGCAGCTTTTTACAGCCACAGTAGCAAATGTAAAAACATGAATTGTTTAAACCTAAACAAATATTCTGAAATACACAGCATTCATTTTCATTCATAAACACAAGTCACCAGTGTCCCCTGTGCATATTCAGGTTAACCTCATCATGATATCTTCCTTTGTCTAGTTAATCCGAGATGTTCTCAACGTGAGTGAAATGACCCTGAGGAGCCCCATGCCCTCCTGCCTGGGGAAGTACCGCGCTCTGAGGTGCTGCATTGAGGCGGCCCCCCCCGACACCCCCGAGCTTCAGGCTGTCACCTCCCTGCTGCAGGAAAGGTAGCGTAACACCTCAGAAATACGGGAGGAAGCCATTCAGTGATGCATAGCTTCCAAACACATACATCTATTCTCAAGAAGGAGTTGCAGATATAAATTCACCACCAACTGTTATTTATGTTCCTATTTCAGACCGTTTACAGTCACAAATCTGATCAAATATATGAGCATCATCACGTAATTTAATAGTGAGTCTCATTCGTCTGGTTCTTCCCAATTGTAGCCATTTATTTGTATTAAAGGTCCATCTGCAGCACAGAGGAGAAACATTGTAGAATGAGCGCTGGGGGTCATGCCCCTCAGACCTCCATTTTTATCAATTTCCTGTCTTACTCAAAATATATACAGAGTTTGCTATTATTGGACCATAAATCTGTGAATAGCACTGTATCTGCTTCGGAGGGTTTGCATTTTTAGCTCAGTAAAGACACAGTATAACACATATCCGGTTTAGTCCAAATATTGCACAGTTTTATCCATCAAACTCACAGCTTTTTCGCCACGACATACCTCATCTTATTACTTTATTCTTTACTTTCAATCAAACACTACCCAATTCATTAAGTTACATTTATAACTGTTACATTATAGACAACACTTTGGGCAAAATCTAAGAAAGAGCCCAGTGCATTCCCAGAAGAAGAGAGAGAGTTTGAGGGCACAGAATGCAGTTTTAATATTAATTAGCCTTTCCTCTTCTCGAGACATAAATAATCCAGATAATACGTGTTCACCAAAGGCTTTGTATGAAGTAACCGGGACCATACCATTCAGATTCATTGTAAAGGAATATAAATAGTAATAGTGTGTGTACGTTTAGAGGTAAAAGGCCTCCAAGTGTCTTTTGTGTGTTTTTAAACCCTAATGGGGCCAGTAGTGTCCATCCATAAACACCTACAAATATGTTTTTGGTACATAAATGTTTGTTTCCGTTGAGTTTGGGCTCTCACTTCCCATGTTCCCATCTGTTCTTTGCAGGAAGATGCAGGTCAAACAGGTTCTGCGTGTCAGCCGAGGAGTGGAGCTCCAGACGTTTAAGAGTGAGTTTGGGAACGTGAGGCCCCTGCTGCACTCCTCCAGCCCCAGCAACTTTGTGGGAGTCCTGTCTCGGTGAGCGCACACACACACACACACACACACACACACACACACACACACACACACACACACACACACACACACACACACACACACACACACACACACACACACACACACGCATCCTGAGATTTAGCCGTCAATTGTTGTTGGATAATCCCAGGTTTTCTTGCAAGGACACTGATAAAGATCATTTCTGAGACGAAAAAGTACTTTTTTAATCCAGACTGACTTCTGTACGGAGGGTGTACCAACAAGAAAACATGGTATACAGTTCAGACTTGAAATTAGAAAAAGGTTTACTTTTCCTGGGCTCTGTGGCTATAGATTTAATTAAAGGCAGTTTTGATGGATTTAGGGATAAATGAAGCTCATAGATCATAGTTTATGCTGTGTATAACGTGAGTGTTATAGTTCCTTTGTGCAACCAGTTCAAATTGGATTCTACGGAGCCCCCTAGGGGACATGGAGGAAAAAAATATATAATTTGAACAAAAAATAAATAAAATGTTTTGCGAGATCTCGCAATACTTTTGCGAGATCTCGCAAAACCCCTTTGCGAGATCTCGCAATACTTTTCATTTAGTACTTCCTGGTCAGTTCGGCTGCTACGGCAACACAGAAACCACAACAATGGAGTGGTTCATCGATTTTACTTTGAGCTTGGCCTTAAATATAAAGATATAACATCAGTGCTTGGCAATAGCAACGGGTTTCACACATATACTGTATAAAGGGTTTCACATAAGTGTAGACACCTCAAGAGAACACTCAGAGCGAGGGGACATGCACGTTCCTCTGAGCTGAGTTATTGACAGATTCGAATTTCGCGGATCAATAACTCATGAACATAACGTTGTAAAAATACAAACAACATGACTTTACAATCATAGCAAGGTAGAGAACGAGTCGTTTTTATCAGAACAGTTCGTTACGCGCCGTCATCCGAGCTAAACATCAAGAATTGGTCACAATCCGCAGCTGGAGGCGGGAGAGGAGTGCTTAGGGACCGTCTACAAACTGCAACGGGGTTTTGCAAGATCTCGCAAAACATTTAATTTTTAATTTTTTTCAAATAATTCTTTTTTTCTTCTCCATGTCCCCTAGGGGCTCCGTAGGATTCTGATGTTGGTTCCTTTTAAAGAATAATGTGAACAACTCCAAACAAGCTGTTAATCTGAATTGAGCGCTTAGACTCGCAGTGGAGCGTAGCTTTAGCAACGTGATATATTTGATGATATAGTAATGCAGACAGGTACTGTGTAGTGAAGGTCTTCAAATGGACAACTAAGAAATCTTATTTGGTTTTGGATTTTTTTTACTTTAACAATGTTTACCGTCTCTTTAGTGGTCTGCTGCCGCCCCGTGTCGGAGTGGAGCATCATGGGATTGAGAGAACAGACGCGGGTAATCTGGGCAGTGGAATCTATTTTAGTGATGACCTGAGGTAAGCAGAACATCTGAAATCAAGTTTGTTTTGAAATATAAAACTTCTATATACTACTCTTGAATTGCCTAAAACATTACCGGATTTAATGAAACGATTGCGTCTATGAGAATTCATTGTATTTAAAACAGAGGTGTCCAAACTTTTTTCACCGAGGGCCACATACGAAAAATATACGAAGGGCTGGGCTGCTCATTAGAGGTATATATTACCTCGTAAGTTCAGTTATAAGTTAGCTAAATCAATGTAGGTAAATTATGCTTGTGAGTGTTGGCAGCTCATCCCTTAAAACAGAAGATTGATTATAATAAGGAGAAATAGGAAGGGTGTATTTCATGCTTGTTATGTAAATAAGTCATTGGGCTTTTTTCTTAACAACTAAGATATGTTAGAAAATGTTTCCAACTTTAATTGACTGAATTTATTTGAAAAGTGGTTTTATTAACACATGAAAACTACTGTGTAATATATTTTTACATTTATCTTTAAGAAGTATAATACAAGACAAGCACAAGTTTCATTATTCCATTATACTTTTTGAATTTGCTGAGGGCCGATTCAAAATGGGCCGCATTTGGCCCCCGGGCCGTAGTTTGGACACCCCTGATCTAAAAGGTGCTTCTCTAATGAGTCTTTGATCCTCATTTCATCCTATGGGGAACCAGATGGCAACAACACACTCATCTGTAGTGAGACTGTTTTCCACTCTCCTTATCCACAGCGCCAGTTTGAAATACTCCAAGCCCAGCGAGACAGACGGCTCTCGGCTGCTGTTGGTGTGTGATGTGGCGCTGGGTCAGTGCATGGACGTCCATAAGAAAGACCTCACCCTGACCGAGGCTCCGGAGGGATACGACAGCGTGCACGGGGTCCGCCGCACCCCCAACACTCACTCTGAGTTTGTGGTAGGTGTTTTCATGCTAATTGTTAGGAAAATAACCGGCTTGAGCTTCAATATCAGGATACATGTATTTATTATCCTTGCAAGAATGGAAGTAGTCATCACATACAGAGCATTTGAGACAACTAGTTCCCAGAACAGTGTCCTTCAGATACTGATATACAAGTCAGTCACAAGATGCAGAATACCGGTTCAAAGTTTCAATGTTTAGTTTAGATTAGCTAAGACCCACGTAAGCAATAAACATGACAGTCATATGTCTCTCTCCATAGAGGCTGAATCATCTGTTAATCACATAGCTATCATATGCCTAAAACAGTCCTGATGCTCTTCTAGGTAATCACACATCCTGTCATGCACACAGCTACGTAGGGCCTTTGTTATCATGTGTACTCTGATATTGGAAGAGTACTTTCAGTATTTTCCCAACACTAATGTACATGAAATTAAAGCCTGTTTCTGCAGCTAAAATAGATTTTATTTCTTTATATCAAGACTGATACAGTTTATCAAATTAGATTTTGAGATGCTGAGTGAAGTAAACAAAGACTGACTGTTTTGCACTATCAAAGCTTGTATTAAGAATCTTAGGAGATAAATGTGTATATGATTGTATAGATGTGTGTGCAAGTACGTAGTATGTATTGTTTGTCTGTTCATTAGTGTAACAAAAACGAAAAACAATTAAAAAGGATTTAAAATATACTTTTTAATGCTTATCATCATGTTTTCTACATAATCTCCCTGAAAGAAAAAGTAAAACATATTTTTTGTGATTGCGGTTATAAATGTTATTTATTGGATTAGAAGTTTTTGACCAAAGTATCAAATGTTGTTTTTGAAAAGATAACACATTTTTTTCTTTTTAACCATATTCTTTTATATATTCTGTAGAGATTTTAATAATTGTTATATACAAATAATTTCAAAGCTTTAAATAATCTTTACTTCTAAGTCTGTGTACACTGTAACATGTATACTTGTACTTGTGCTCCAGGACGATGAGTACGTGGTGTACAGTCCCGATCAGGTGAAACTGAAGTTTGTGGTTCAGTACAGCGTCGAGGGAGACGCACCGAAGGAGTTCAGTCCAAACATCAACATCTGCGCTGAGCCCTCTATGGACCGAGATGAGAAGATAACTAAGAAACCTGACAATGGTATACTTCCCCTGAGGTCCAGCACTTTGAATGTCTGATCTGATATTCAGACCCATATCTTTTTGAGATGTCATGTTTTATTTCAGTTGAGGGATGACTGAAAAAAAGTCTTGCTTCTTCCAGCTCCTAAAGACATTTTAAAACCACTTTGCTAATATTATATTGGTATTTGGGAACAACACAACTTTAATAAAGTACAATTCCCCAATCCACTTTGCTAAATTAGGCAGCGTTTGACTTCAGACAGTAGGAAAGCTTTTCTTCCAAGATGAATGTGTTAGAGTGTTTTGCCATTGAAAGGATCAATGTTGTCCTGTATTGTTGTCATTACAATGCAATCAATCAAACACAGTGTGTGTCTTGGTTTGTGTGTAGATGAGGAGTTCATGTCGGATGAAACGTATTTCTGTACTAACCCTCTGGATGACGTGAAGGCTGGTCTGATGGACAGCTCAGGTCAGCAGCTCCCTCTGCAGGCCGTCCACGTGAAGTGCAAACTGATGGATCTGCTCTCTCAGGTGAAAACAGACCAACTCATTCATATGTTCTGTTCAGATAGATGATCTATTGGTTGATTTGAATTAAACCTCGTAAAATGCATCAGACTACCATAGGAGAATATATCTTATTCTCATTGCTAAATGTACTGGACCTAAAAAAAAACACTGTTATACAAGTATCTAATCTGTAATTAAACTCAATTGTTCCTTCTATCCTCTTTTCAGGTCATCATCTTCCAGAAATACACAAATCTGAGCTCTGTGCCCATCGAGGCAAAGTACGTCTTCCCCCTGGAGGATTCTGTAGCAGTGTGTGGATTTGAAGCTTTTATTAATGGGAAACATGTGGTGGGACAGGTAACCTAACTTTACTTTTCATATCACAGATATTAGTCTTACCCTCTAGTTACTGTATTTATTTCTCATATAGACTTATTTTATTCATTAGATAATTTCTTAATGATTTATCTAATTTATTAAAAAGCATATACAGACAACAGCTAAAAAATGGCTTGGCCGGTTTGGAAAATGTTGGTGTGGTTATGGAGGTTATTTAGGATGTTGAATCAATTGCTGACATCTTTAGGAAGAAAGAAAAGGCAGTTTTTTTGAGTCTTTAGACTTGGTCTGTACCCACAAATCATCAAAATCAATGTACAAATGTAGCCACTTTCTGGTTTCAACTGCCATTTGGATCCTGAACATGTCAGAAATGGATTCAACATCCTCAATAACCCCTAAAACCACTCCAAAATGTTCCAAATCGGCAAAGCCATTTTTTATCTATTGTCTGCATATGCTAATTGATGCTCGTTAATGCAACTTATGCTAATTCTGCAAATTATCCAACATATGCAAGTTAGCATCTACTGTAGCAGTTTCTATGTGCTGGGGGTCCATACTATACATTTATATCATAACACTTACTCAACATCTCAGGTTCTATGAGCAGGAAAATAAACAATTGTATTAAACATACTTTGTTATTGTTTTATGTGTAACAACAAAACTCACCAGTAAAATACAAATTCACTTCATGGATTTGTTGTTAAAACTAATTTGCCTTGTTTGTATCTCAGGTGAAAGAGAAAGAGACGGCACGCAGGGAGTACAAGCAGGCGATAAAGAAAGGACATGGAGCCTACCTCATGGACCAGGACGCCCCCGTATGTTCACCCTCTGCATGCAAGATCTAAACAAAGCAATCTCTGATTCTGAAATATTACACTGATCAATCAATATACAAGAAAGTGTTATTACCCCTTTTCACAACACCTTATTTACTTATCTTATTTACGATGCATGAAATTGGGTTGCAAAGACAGAAACCACTGGTTACAGAAGTGTTTTCGCTATTCTCTATTCGTTCAACATTATTATCAGTATTGCTTCTTGAAGAGACACAGGACTCTCCCAAATTCTCTGATAAGTAACAATCATATTTACAAGCTTAAACTCTTCCAACCATATATGTAATTTAGCATTGCAGAAGGCTGTATAAACTACAATGCCCATGAGCCCCAGACACCGTTGTTATGGGAAAAGATAAATGGTTTCAATTATTTAAAAACGCAGCCGCATTTATACTATGTTCATTCAAAGTTCACTCAAACTCAAAATACATATTGGATATGTTTATCTCCCAATAAATGTACCTTTAATGTACACACCTTGTTTCTTCTACTTTGTATCAACAGATTTTTTCTTTTAAAGGTCACCTATTATGCAAAATCCACGTCTCTTCTACATCAACATGTAACTCTGTGGAACTCTGTGGAAAGAGACTCTGAACGTTTCAGGAAAAAAGATTCTCTCTCTTTTTGTCCTGATCCATTTATATATAAAAACCTGTCTGAAAACGAGCTGATCAGATTTTAGCCACTTTATGATGTCATAACGATGTTTTGGTTTGTGTAACCATTAGCCAATCAGCAACCAAGGTAACCCCCCCCCCTTATCACCTGAATCTCCTCCTAGAGCACCATTGTGTTCTTTTTAACCAAATCTCTCTCAGAGGGGCGTGGGGAGGGGCTCCTTATTTTCATCTAAAGTAACAGACAGAGAATCAGCACTTTGGAAACAGGGCTGAAACAGAGGGGATTATGGGTAATGCTGCAATGATCTGTTTGGTATTTGGAGCCAAACACTTCAGAGACATGTTTTATATATATCTGAGACCTATAATATATTGATGAACAACAGTATAATAGGGGACCTTTTTAAATACTGTATTCAAATCAAATGTATACAAAATGATTTTCCTCCAGAGGTGATTAAAATAGTTATTTCCACTTTGTGTCTCTAACTCCTTCACTGTGTGCTCTCTGCAGGATGTGTTCACCATCAGTGTGGGCAATCTGCCGCCCAATGCGACCGTCCTCATTAAAGTCACGTTCGTGTCCGAGCTGGTCGTCACGGACGGGTCCATTTTCTTCCATCTCCCTGGGAGCGTGGCTCCATGGCAGGAGAGCGCGGCGCTCTACCAGACCACACAGGTAAAGGGAGGTCCAAATGTATACCCCAACAACAATACTCCACAAAGTAAAGTCTTAATTCACCCTTTCACTCTTGCCTTCAACTCCTAATCCACTAACCCCTCGCCCTTATTCCACCTAGCTTAGCACTTTTTACTTTTGTTGTTATTTATTTTTCTTCTTTACTTGATTGTAAAGTACTTTGAGCACCAGGAAAAGCGCTATATAAATGTAATGTAGTATTATTATTATTATTATTATTATTGTTATTATTAATCTGAATGTTGTCTTAAGGGGCAACAACAATTCAATCAGGAGAGATGGTTTTGATGTAAGAATACATATTTATTGCCAGGAATACACAAATGAATGTAATGGAGTTTTGGCCATTAGGCCCCGTTGTGCAGGAGTACCATTCGGGAGGGGAGAACCGATCCGATGAAACCCCCCGGATAGTGGATAGATAGTTGAGTTCGGTCTGAAGGGGAGGGGCTTAGCTTGACCCTGGATTCAGAGGGACAGGAGGTGAAAAGGGGTGGAGGAGGGTTGCGTCGAGTCACCTGAAATGACAGCTGACAGGGGGGGGGGAGCAGATTTAAAAGGTTTAGCGGAGCGCTATGATAGGCTTGTGAGAATAGAGCGAAGTGATTGGTTAAGCTGGGGAGTGACGCCCCCGATCACTTATTGAGAGGAGAGAGAGTAGTGACGTAGACATAGTGAATGAATGAGTAAAGAAGGTCTTCCTGGTTGAACTTGCGCTGAGCTTCATAAGTGCCTTAAAAGAGCGAAACCGCAAAAAAGAGTATAATACACACCCGAATCAGATAAGATGGACCTTTATTAATCCCCGTGGGGAAAGTCAGAAGTTTAACAGCAACAGGGTGAGATTGAAAAACAGGATAGCACAGAATCACACAGTTAAGGATAAAATCAGAGATACAAATAAAAAATGGTAAATAACTATAAAATAAGAAATGAATTCAAATGAACATATTTAGTCATGTGTACATATTATTTACATGTGTGTGTGAAAACAATGTGTATTTTGCAATTTACGCATGTGTTTTCATCAGTTTGAGTTATATACTTTTGTAGTCTTCTTCTCCTTTTTTGTGGCTTGAAAGCAATTCAATATATAAGATATCAAATAAAGCGGGACTTTTCATCGTCTTCCTTCATAAAGCTATCCTACGTCTGCATGAACCATTCATCAATGGAGACATACAGATCGGAGGTGTTGCTGTTTTTATTGTTCAGTGTTTCCAGTTGTGTTTGTGTTCGTCTAACTTACTGATGTGCGGGGCTCTGCATTGATCAACAGGTCACTGTGGAGAAGGTGTATGTGAAAGATGAGGCGAGGTGAGCTATGTTTTGTATTTTGACTATTGTAATGCACTTTAGCTTAATTGTAATCCTTCAATTTGACACCAGCTTTTGTGCTGAATGTTTGTGAAAAAGCACACTGTCCATTAACTTGTTTATCCACAAATATTACATCAATGACACTTTTTTCTGTTTGTCATTATCTCAGTTAAACATTTGGATAGAAAAATAAGTTGTGTTTTTCATCGCTGCCTCTTTGTCCTTCTTACTGTGTTTTTGTAATGTAGACTTTAATGTCACACATATCACATTAAAGGCTTTGCTCAATGTGTTGTTTATTTCTCAGAGAGTTCACCCTGGACATGGCGATTGAGATGCCGAATGAAATCACAAAGCTGCTTTGCATCAGCCATAAAGTCAAGATCAAGGTAATCTGTGTTTGACATTTGTTTGGGATTTTTTAGACATTAGAGGTTTCTCAATACTCTAATTTCCCCTCCTCGACTCCTTTCCTCGACTCCTATCCTCGATACTTAGTCCCGCCCACAGGAGATGCGAGTGGAGGACTAAGGAGGGGAACCGAGGAGAGAGGAGGGGAAGCAGCAGGCGGTTAGAGAAATGAGAAGTCAAATGAGGCACAGCAGCCCTCTGTCTGATGGACAGATGTGTTCATGACGACTTATATATTTACTTTTAATTCATTGACAGTGCGGTATAATGAGACAATAACAGGCTACAGATGCGGACACACACACACACATATATTTATATAAATATATACCAGTTCTGAATCAAACTAGTATGAGAGCACTCTCATAATAACGTAACACAATCAGAGACTGGATATATCCCCCCCCCCCCTCTCTGGTCGCTGCAATGGGGAATTTAAATTACGGGCCAAAAGTTGTACAAGTATTAAAAGTAAGCAGAGGACACTAAACCAACTGAGACCCGTCTGTCCGCCGCATCTACACACTGTACAACACACACCTACACACTGTACAACACACACCTACACACTGTACCACACACACCTACACACTGTACCACACACACCTACACACTGTACCACACACACCTACACACTGTACCACACACACCTACAGCTCCTAAAGCATAATCAGGCTACTACAGCCGTTGTGTATTTTATTATGTGAAGCACGAAATGGTCTTAGAAAAATATCGACTCTTTGTTTGTAGATATCTACTAAACTACAGCAAATAAAGAGAGTAGGCCTGTTATACTGAGTGATATATATTATACACACTGCTCTGCTTTCTGCATGGATCTTACAGCTGTTCTCTCTGGAAACATCGAGTTGCGATGAAAGCAGTTAATAAAATAATATCCAGGGGATGCATGCAGAGCTGTCATTGGCTGAGATAAGTCTGGCCGTGCGTCACGCCTCCACCGTTCCTGGAAATGCATCCGTGGAGGAGCCGTGGAGGAACCATCAGTGTCTCCTCGGTTAGAGCTCCTCCAGAGAGCCTCCTCGATGCTCGGTCCTCGAAGTGCATTTAGAAATGAGATGTCCTTCAAAATGGCGCGCTGAAATTCATTTCCGGTTCACAGGGGAAATTTGAGTATTGAGAAACCTCTAATGTTACATGGCTGTCAGTTATCGTCTCTGTCTTACCGTGTTCCTCCACAGATCAAGAAATAACAAATATTGTACACTTCTATAGAAATAGCATATTTTCTCTTGACTTGATGCATTTGGAAATGCAGACTAAAGTGTACCAAAAATATGTAAAATGCCTTAATGCTAAATTGTTTGGCATTCTGATGATGTAGCCGTACATTGCACAACCTGGATAATGAAAAGTAAAATGTCTACTGTTTTATGTAATTCTACTATTGGGGTTGTCATTTCTACCTCACTCTAGTGCTGAAATTATTTCAGAGTTTTTTATAATTAACAATATCTTGATTTAGCTAAATAGTTTTCATCTCAAGATACGAGAGATCTCCCTGGCACAGCTTCAATCAAATGCCTTGTTTTTGTATCATATCAAAAGTAGTTTTGTCTTTATCTGCTAATCAGACTGCATACATCTAGAGTTTTTGTATCTGATTACGCAGATTTGTCATTATGTTGGAGGTATTTTACACTAAATATTTGACTCGTCGTTACTATGTTGGATAGTATATAGTCCATAATAAAATAAAATAATTTATTTATGTTGGGATAATACTGAATGTACTCTTCCAATATCAGAGTACACATGATAACAAAGGCCCTACGTAGCTGTGTACATGACAGGATGTATGATTACCTAGAAGAGCATCAGGACTGTTTTAGGCATATGATAGCTATGTGATTAACATGATGATTCAGCCTCTATGGAGATAGACATATACCAAGCATGCTCATTTCTAACGTGGCGCTAATCTGAACTAAACATTGAAGACTGCTTTCTATTCCTCCATCTTGTGACTGTGTAACTCCCTCTCTTGGATATCAGCATGTGAAGGACACTGCTCAGGAACTAGTTGATGCTCTGTATGTGATGACTACTTCTATTATTACAAGGATAATTAATACATGTATCCTGATATTGAAGCTCAAGCCGGTGACGAGTAATATTTTCCTAACACTTTATGATCTTCATGTGTACCCTTTTTTCTTTTCTGTGTGTTTGTGTGATATTCCCACAGAAAACCGACTGTAAGGCAGTGTTGAGCGTGCTGCCAGGAGAGGTCATGGGTCCAAGTGGCTTCATGCTGTCAGTCACTCTTTCGGAGGTCCACCTGCCCAGGATGTGGGTGGAGAAACACCCCGACAAGGACAGCCAGGTCTGCATGTCTGTCTGCACGCATTCCTCTCTTTATCTCTCTCTGGAGCCAAGGCAAAACGTATAAAAGTTAGCGCTGAGCTTCAGTCTGCAATGTTCAAAACAACAGATAAAGCCAGACATCTAGGTGTAGTCATGGACTCTGACCTGAGTTTCAACAGTCACATTAAAACAGTTACTAAATCAGCCTACTATCACCTAAAGAATATATCTAGGATTAAAAGACTAATGTCACAGCAGGATTTGGAAAAACTTGTCCATGCTTTTATCTTCAGTAGACTCGACTACTGTAATGGTGTCTTCACAGGTCTCACTAAAAAATCTATTAGAAAGCTGCAGCTGATTCAGAACGCCGCTGCTCGAGTCCTCACTAACACTAAGAAAGTGGATCACATCACTCCTGTTCTGAAGTCTTTACACTGGCTTCCTGTGTGTCAAAGAATAGATTTCAAAATACTGCTGCTGGTTTATAAAGCACTGAATGGTTTAGGCCCAAAATACATTTCTGACCTCCTGCTAAATTATGAACCATCCAGATCTCTCAGGTCTTCAGGGACTGGTCAGCTTTCTGTCCCCAGAGTCAGAACTAAACATGGAGAAGCAGCGTTCAGTTATTATGCTCCAAATATCTGGAACAAACTCCCAGAAACCTGCAGGTCCGCTGCAACTCTGACTACTTTTAAATCCAGGCTGAAGACTTTTCTTTTTGTCGCTGCTTTTAATTGAACTATTCACATCTTAAACTGCACTGTAACTTTTATCCATGTACTTTTTCTTTTAATGTTTATTTTATTATCCTGCTTTTTAATGACTGTTTTTAAATGCCATTGTCTTAATGTCTTTAATTTTTGTAAAGCACTTTGAATTGTCTTGTGTTGAAAGGGGCTATATAAATAAACTTTTCTTGCCTCTCTTTATCTCCCTCTGTGTCTTTGTTTAAACATCTCTCACTTTCTCCTCTAGGCCAGCATGTTAGTTTTCTATCCAGACTTTGAAGTGAACTCCGAGCGTGAATCTGATGAACTCGTCTTGCTGCTCGACACGTCGGAGTCCATGAAGGGAGAGTCTTTCATCTTGGCCCAGAAAATCGCCCTGAAGGTCCTCAGACAAATCGATAACAACACCAAACTCAATGTCATTGTATTTGGCACAGGTCAGTTTGAATGTGTATTCATTTTGGGTAAAAATTGATAAAGCAATAAGGGGAAGTACAAGTTAGACAATGTTAAAATATCTCACCATTAATGAGTAAGCTAAAAGTATTTTGACTGAATCAAATAAATGAAATAAAAAATGAATAAGTTATGTAATAAAACTGCAAGGCACAAGCCATGACACTGCTTTGGTTTTGATCATCTGTTATTTACTCTTACATTCATTAGTGTTTCAGCACTTGCTCTCACGTCAGCTATCACATGCAACATTTCAAGTACAAGAAAACTGCTTTTAGGGACTTTCCGTCTGAAGTCAACTCTTATTTTACATAAAAGTCTCCTCTTATTCCAAACTTAGTTCAACCAATAGATTATAATTTTAGCGAAAGTATAATGTGTTTTTTTTCTGTATTGTTGTCTGTCAGATCACAAAGACGCTTTCCTCACAGCACGGCCTCTCTTTGAAGCTCAACCGGCAGCAGAAACATTTATCAAGGTGAGTCTTTGGTTCATTCAAAAAACGAGCTATATAACATTTTAATCTATAAAATGTATCTCACCTCTCTGTGTAATGTACTGTAGTATCGACTAAACCACCTTAAACGACTTACCAATCACTGTACTGTAACAACATATTTTCAGTATACTACACTTGAGTTTTCGGCCATGACAGGAACTTGGTCCTGTGACACATGGACTCGATAAACTTTACTAGTCCTTACAATATATTTCTCATAACTCTAAAATAAAACAGGAAACGATAGTGAGAAGTATTGCCTTGGCAAAATTGGTCAGTGTAAGAATTTCTCATTTGAGTTTATGGCTTTCTATAACGACATACAGAATAATACTATATTAGATTTGAAAAGTAAACTAGTCATTGAAGAGACTTAAAAGTAATTCACAGAACATACTGGAAGTAACTGTGTTAGCTGCACACAAAATGTGTGCTGTCAAACAGGTTCGTTTTACACAGAACTTATTTTTTACAATATTCCAAAAGCCTATGGAGAAATCCCATTGCTTTTTTGTCGAGGGAACCCATGCTCAGCTTATTTCCAAGTCGGCCTACGAAAATACGTCATCACTGCACCACTCTATAAACCCGTTTCTGATTGAGATTCTGATTCTTCCTCTTCTCCCTGCCACCAGCTCTCCTCTCCAATAGGGGGCAGCACTGAGCTGTGGCGGCCCCTGCGAGCTCTCAGCCTGCTGCCTCCGTCCCGCGGCGTCAGGAACCTGCTGCTGCTGTCGGACGGACACATCCAGAACGCAGAGCTCACCCTGCAGCTGCTCAGAGACAACGCCGAGCACAGCCGCCTCTTCGCCTGCGGCCTCAGGTCTCAAAGGGTCATAGGTCACACAGGGGGGTTTTCTTAGAAAGGAGAATACATTCCTGCGTTTTAAAGGTCTGGCCCTGTTATACTGTTTTGCCTCAATATATTATAGGTTTCAGATATAAAATCTTATTTTATCTGCCCCTTCTTAAAAAAAATAACAACAAACCAAAAATGAAATAACCATACAGACGTAAAATAAAAGCAATATTCTTTCAGTCACAGTTGCTTACAAATACTGAAACATAAAACAAGAACACAATCAAAAGTAACATTCAGACTGTCTGATTATGCTTTATTTATACATTTTCTTAAACATATTGATCTAGTTATAGGATTATAAATATGTCCTGACACCAGAGACACAAAGACATAATGGCTGAGCTGTCTAACAACATAAGAATGAAAACAAAGTAAACACAAGTCTGAATGAAAATATAACAGAGATGGGGGAATGTCCCTGCTACTGTAAATCTCACTCTCCCTCATAACCACGACCGATACGGGTTGTAACTCTCTGAGCTTTAATGACAAAACATTTTGTATTCAGCCTTGCCTTGCTTTGCACACTGAGGTTCTTTTTCACAACAGACATTTTAAAGTTGCCGGTTTTTTATGTTTGTTCTGTCATTTCAGCCCGACAGCCAATCGGCACATGCTCAGAGCCCTGGCTCAGGCCGGGGGCGGAGCCTTTGAGTTCTTCGACACAAAAACCAAACACAACTGGACAGATAAGGTAGGACTGACTAACACATTATTGGGCTTTTTTACCCAATGCAAAACATGAATTTGAATCTGATGATCTCGATATGTGTTGAAAGTATCAACATGTTTCCCAAGAGGATCTAACACGTGTAATGTTGTAAAATGGGCCTTTCACATTGAGAACAAAATGTGTTTTATTCATTTGTTAACGCTTTGTTAACTCTTTACCCTTCAGTAAAGGGAGCGGAGAACTTCCACATCAACACATTGTGCAATTAATGCTGTCAAAATTATCGCGTTAACGGCGGTAATTCATTGAATTAAATGCGTTAAAATATTTAACGCATTTAACGCGCAGAATGGCCCGCCCCATACATCCCACCAGCGCCAGGGTATGGCTGGGGTAGGCTACACCCATACCAAGAAATGGCTTAGCCCCACCATGAAAAATGATGTTAAAGTAAGCAAAATAAAGTCCGCCAACTCGCGCCGAGAATTGCACAGACAGCAGTTAGTCAGATTGATTTCAGCCAATTGTCTCGAAATACCGAAGACCAGAAACGGTTTTGAAAACTTTTGTCACGTAGTGATCGTCTTCCCAATAGAACATCTTTGATAATGTCTTCTGGCCAATCAGAATCAAGATAACGGCGTGGTGTTGTTGCAGGAAGTCCCGACGGAGAATACTTTTGCTGTAGTACAGGGGTGCACATAACTGGTAGGTTATGTGCGTAATCTGAAATGCGTACCGTCACTTGTGTCACAAAGCGCATTTGCGTACCGACGTACTTGTGAAGCTTTTCCAGAAGGCGGTTAGATCACCGGACGACAGAGTCGGTCTCCGTGTGCACAGACAGGGCTGCTGTTAACGTCGGTCTGTACAACGGAATTGTGCCAAAACTACGCCAATCGGCTGCGGAGACTCCCCCCCTTCACTGGAGAACTGCGCTAAAACAGCTGATCACAACGTTCACACTCTGTGGTCACGAAGTACTCCACTAGCCCCCCCTGTCGACTTTCCTGAAGTACTCCCCCGTTGATAGAAATCAACACGTAATGAATTAAGACCCCACGGTTTGATGATTGATAGGTGCTCTCTTTCATTTTGACACACAGAAAAATGTTATAATAAACATAGATACTGTTTGTTAAATGGATATATCCGCCTTCTTTCATTTATCTTTCCATTCCCACAACAATATACATAAAGAAATGGCATATTTTGGACATAGTTCGAATGGTGATTAATTATGATTAATTAATTTTTAAGCTGTGATTAATCTGATTAAAATGTGTAATCGTTTGACAGCCCTATGTGCAATATAAATATCATTACCATCATTACAAAACACTTGCTGCTATATAACATGTGCAATATTATTATTATTAACAATGTGTGATAAACGTGCAATTAGGGTTGCACTACTAATTACTGGTTATATTTACATTAA